ATAGAGAAATGTGGGATCAACATATAAATCAAGTATAAAAATCAAACGAATATTCATATTTGACCTGATTGTTTATAGTTCATAATGCGTGATCAAAACCGAAAGTTTCTGTGATGAATGCCCTTGTACTGTTCACCATGTAAGAATTTATTCACTATGTACGAATTCGTTCACATGTAAGAACTTGTTCGTTATGCTTCAGAAGATTGGAGACTGACGAGAATTAGGCTTGAGAGGGATTAATGATTGTACATTGAGCATTGACCCCCCTATACTGAAGTTTATTGTTGTTAACAACCATTTGATCAATAAATATGAGAGATGCCCTCTCAAAAAAAAAATTGCATTGAAAATAATAAATCAAAAAAGTATGGTACTCTCAGAAAAACACAATAGTTCAACAGAAGAGAGAGCCCAGAAATAAATGCAGGCATTCATGTTTAATCAACCCACAACAAAGGAGGCGAGAATACACAGTGGGAGGAGACAGGCTCTTCGATGAACAGACAGTCACAAACAAAAGAATGAAACTGGACCACTTTCCTACACCATACACAAAAACAAACCTGAAATGGACTGAAGACCTAAATGAAAGACCTTACATCATAAAGCTCTAAAAGAGAACATAGGTAGTAAACTATTGGACATCAACTTTAGTAATTTTTTTCTGCATATGTCTCCCCACGTGACAGAAACAAAAACAAAAATAAACATTTGAGACTACATCAAACTAAAAGTTCCTGCAGATAAAGGAAACCATAAACAAAACAAAAAGGCAATCTTTTTGTATGGAAGAATTATTTGTAAATAACACATCTGATAAAGGGTTAATATCCAAAATCTATAAAGAACTCCTACAACTTAACCCCCCAAAAAGCAATTTGGTTAAAAATGGGCAGAGAAACTGAATAGACATTTTTCCAAAGAAGACATACAGATGGCCAAGAGGAACATGAAAAGACGCTCAACATCACTTATCACCAGGGACATGCAAATCAAAACCACAATTAAGATTATCATGTCACACCAGTCAGAATGGCCACTATCCAAAAGACAAGAAGTAACAAGTGTTGGCGAGGATGTGGAGAAAAGCGAGCCCCCCTGCACTGTTGGTAGGGATGGCAGTTGGTGCAGCCACTGTGGAAAGCAGTATGGAGGTTGTTTAACAAATTGAAAACAGAACTACCCTATGATCCATCAATTCCAATTCTGGGTATTTATCTGAAGGAAATGAAAACAGTAACTCAAAAAGGTATCAGCACCCCCATGTTCATCACAGCATTATTTACAACAGCCAAGATGTGGGACCAAACTAAATGACCATCAGAGAATCAATGGATAAAGAACGTGTGGTGTATTTATACAATGGAGTATTGGCCAAAAAAGAATGACAATCTTGCCACTTACAACATGGACAGACCCTGAGCTCACACGTAAATGAAATAAGTCAGAGAAAGACAAATACCTTATGATCTTACTTATATGTGGAATCTTAAAAAAAAAAAAAAAAAGGACTCACAGATACAAAGGACAGATTTGTGTTTACCAGAGGCAGGAAATACGGGGGGTGGGGCAGGGGAGCGAAATGGGTGAAAGGAGTCAAAACGTACAAATTTTCCAGTGATAAAGTCAGTCAGTCCTTGGAAAATAATTACAGCTTGATGACTATACTTAACAATACTGTACTGTTTATTTGAAAGTTGCTACAAGAGTAATCTTAAAAGTTCTCATCACATGAAAAATTTTTTTGTAACTGTGGTAATGGGTACTAACTAGACTTACTGAAGTGATCATTTGGCAACAAGTATCAAACCATTAGTTATACACATTAGTGAAGCTAATACGTCAATTATACCTCAAGAAAAAACAAACAAACAAAAAACAGAAAAAAGGCTTGTTGCAAAATAACCCAGTAACGGGTTCAACATATTGTTTTGGAAGGATTCTTCTTAATCTTGAATTTTGAATAAACATGATTTAGCAATTAAAAAATAAATCTCCCCCCCTCGAGGAAACCTGCCTTGGGATGAAGGTGACACTATGAATGATGGAGCAAAGACAGAGATGGAAAGATCTGGTTCTCTGATGGCAAAACTGGACCCTGGGAGCAAGCTAACCTGGAGCACAGCCTTATTCTGAGCAGCCTTCTAATGGGGGCTAATGAATTTAATTACTGCTCGGCCAATTTGGGTCGGCTATTCTGTTCCCTCCAACCAAAGCTTTAGGATACCTGTCTATCTTCTGCACAAGGTTAAACTACTTGAGATAAGGGGGAAAAAGAAGGTGCAAACTCAAGAGGGAAGATCAAGATCAATTTGACACATGGCTGCAATTATGGTGCATGTGAGGTACTGGAGAGAGGTCTACACTGGGAGACAGGAATCACCAGGTGAGAGTAGGAGCTAGAGAAGAAACTGAGGGATACAGTACTAGAATGTGTGATGGGACTTCAAAGAGAGCCAATGTTTTTAAGGGGTGGAGGAGACAGACCTTCCAAAGAGATGGAGAAACTGCTGGAAATGTAGGCAGAAAACCTGAGTGCAGCCACAGCCACCTGCCTCTCCCTTCCCAGATCTCTGTTTCCCGGGTGTTTCCAGGAGTCTCCCGTAATGAATAAGGACAGCCAGCAAGGTTCTAAGCTCACCTGGAAGCCTGACCCTGGTAGGAGAAACCTTGCCTCTTGAAATAATCAATTGCATCATGTGGGCAGGTCTTGAGAGTGTTCACGCGCACAAACCGAGGCACCTGGGAGGCTAGGACGCAATCGGCAGTGAGAGCAGGAATATGGCCCTGTCCCAAGGGCCTGATGGGTATCACCCACCCCCACAATTCCACCTCACCTGGGCCAGGCCTGGTTCCCACTTCCAACAGGTCCTCATTCCGGCTCACACCTCGATGAACCTTGAGCCGGGCTAACTCAGCCTTCAGCCTTGCCTGGTGCCGTTCCAGCAGTGGCTTCCATCGGCCCCCACCCCCTCTAAAGCCTCTTCCCAGCAACAACTCATACACTAGCACCTGGGGGTGTGGAAAGGAAGAGAAAAAGCCCTATGCACTAAGGCCTTGGAACTCCATAGTGTTGGAACTGGAGAGGGTAAACAGATCACCTGTTCACCCAATAACTGGTAAAAGTGAGCTACCCTGCTGTGAATAAAATGAGAGTTCCTGTGGCCAGGATTCTCACCAGGCCCTGGTTGACTAGCTCACTGCACACCCATGGGGAATACAGGGCTGTTGACTCTATAAAAAGAGCTCCACCCAGTGCTCTGCGCGTGACATGGTGGCAGGGCTGCAAGGCTGCAGGAGGGCAGAGCAGAGGCTGGAGTGGTGGCCGCCCAGAGGACAGAGGCCCAGAGGACGGCTGTGTGGGACAACTGTGCGGAAAGAGGGGCCCAGAGGCAGAGACCGGGTTGCTGCATGCAGACTCGCTCTCAGTGATTGGCATTGTAGTGACTGACCTGCCACCATGGAAATAAAGTTGGGTATAAACCTTTCACCCCAAGAACATTTTGCTGTCAATTTCTTTGGTCACACTGAATCCATAGCGAACTTGCCCGGGGCTAAAACCCATTGGCAAAACACCTGCCCAAGATAATAAACTAATGCAAGATACAGGATTTGTACCTTGTCTCTTATTTCCCAGCCCCTTCCCCATGGCTGCTCACCAACAGAGCTCTGGACCTCAACCTGCCTCCTTACCATCACCTTTTTTTTTTTTAACCTAAAGAGCCCTTTCCACCACTATTCCGCACTTCTGTTCTCATTTAATCTTTCACACAAGCTCAAAGTTAAAGCATTTTCATCCCACCTCAATTCATAACCCAGCTATTGGCTGTTCATCCTCATTTCAGAGAAGAGACTTGGCTAAAGTCACACGGCAGATGGCAGAGCTAGGACCCCGCTAAGGAGGGGCTTGCGGCCCTGCCCGCCCCTCATAGTCCCACCCCGCCCATCACCTTGGCCAGGTGTGGCCGCAGCTTCTTCTCTGCACCGAGGAGGCCGGCGCTGGCGATCACAGCGTCCAACACGGCGGAGTAGCGCTGCGTCTCGCACACCAGCGCGTACAGCTGCTTCACGTTCTGCGCGGGGCCGAGAGCACGGACGCTGAGGGGGGCCGCCCGGGACCCCACCCACCCAACCAGAGCCCGAACCCTGCCTCCCGCTACCTGGAACCTGCTGCCTACACCAGCCCCTTGATGGAGCCTTGGCGGCTCTCCACGCCCGCAAGCACGGCCGCCGCCGCTGCGTACACCGCCATACTCCCGCGCGCCTTTACGTCTCTGCCGCGAAGCGGGCCCGCCCGTGCGCCACGCGCCCGCCTGGACTTCCGGGTCAAAGGGCACAAAGATCCGGGCCGCGAGGCTCCGGCTCCCTGCGGAGTTCCCCGCACTCTTGTGTGGGTCCGCACCCCTTCCCGGAAGAGGAGGCCGGCGGTGGGGTCCGGTTTCTCCACTTCTCTGGAGCTCTTAGCGTTTTTCTGTCAATCTGTCAATCGGATAAGGCAAACAATTGGGTTTTATGCTGTTTTAATTTCTGTTGAGGTTGAATGTCTTCATGTTTATCGGTCATGTGTATTTTTTGTGTTTCGTACACACTTCACCATCTCTTTTGCTGCCCTTTTGTGGGTAAAATTGTACTATTTCCAAAATATCTCACCTGGCTTTAGTACATTCTCAGGAGTGGAGAGAAGTATGGCTTTAATACACCTGCATATCAATAGGCGTTCATCACAGGTGGAGAAGTTCATCTCCGTATCAATTACCAGGGCAACAGAGAGCTCCTGAACCTGAGAGGTTAAGGGGAGGGCCGTTGGCTTCAGCTGGAGCAGGAGAAACAGACCCGGACTGCAGTTTGTATGCAGTAAGTGCGTTTTAAGCTTTGTTTCTCCTAATTTTAAGCTTTATTTGATTTCAGTTTTAGAGGTATTTTGCCCCGGGTTTCCTTTCTCTAGACTTACACCTTTATAGGTGTGGGTAAAAGTTCATATTTCCAGAATCTCTCTCCTGCCTCAGTACATCCATATCAATAGATGTTTCCACGGAGTGGAGAGAAGTAGTCATGTCCATATGAATAGGTGGTTACAAAGGTCGGGAGAGTGTGAGAATATCTGGACCAGAGAGGGCCAGTGGTGAGCAAAAGTGGACCACTGCTTGTACGCAATAAACGGGTTTCTCCCACTATACCTGAAAGGAAAGGAGCGACACACAGCAGCAATTCACCAGAGAATTCTGCTTTATTAGGGAAAGGTGCTGGGTTATATAGGAAGGGGCATGGGGTGATTATGCTGTTACTTCTACGGGGCTGGTGGCTATTGGCTAGGCGCTGGGACTGGGAAGGGGGCGAGAGGTGATTGGGCTTCAGGTGGTGCCGTCGGGAACCGAGGACCCCAAAGAGAAGCCGAAAGTTCGCCATCTTACTGGTGGCGGCCCTTCATTCCCCCCTTTCTCCTCTATGGGGTTGTGGACGTTGCTTTCTCTCTGACTGCTTCTTGCTGAACAGGGGCGGAGAAGGGAGTGAGGGTTTGAGGATTGGGAGGAAAGGGTTGATAGGACTCCCCGCAGTAAGGACAAGTAGATGTGGACTTCTTCAGTTTGGAAATCAATGAAGGTTCCCTGTAACCATAGGTCGAGGACCTGTTGATTCCAATGGTGCCAAGAGGATATGGGTGTCAGGAGCTAGGCGTCTGCGGCCATTATTTCCAGGAACAGTTTCTAGCAGAGAGAGGGGTCCATCTCAGCATGTGGTGAGGAGGTTACGTGAGGGTGAGGGATCTTCTGTGGCCAGAAGCTGGTAGTTCCTGAGTAAAAGCTGGTTGAAAGCTTGATTAGAGATTTTTCCGACTTGGGATTTGATGAACTTTATTATACAGGGTAAGAAGAGACAGGCGAGAAGAATGATTATTATGGGGCCTGCAATGGGCCAGAGCCAGGTAAGGAGGGGGTTTGTTAGTATTGAAGAGAATGGGTTGGAATTGGAAGCAGAGTGGAGACTGGAGGCAAGGTCGGTGAGTTTGGTAATGTCAGTTTCTACAATGCCAGATTCGTTGATGTAATAGCAGCACTCTTCCCAGAGGAAGACGCAGGTGCCGCCCTTCTCGGCTGTAAGCAGATCTAGGGCCCGCCGGTTTTGAAGGGTGACTTTAGCTAGCGAAGTGACCTGTCTTTGGAGAGAGGCTAGAGAATCGGCAGTGGATGTCAGGGCTCCCTCAAGTTTGGCGTTGAGATCTCTAACTGCCTATAGAGAGTGACCCAAGGCTTCTCCCGAAAACCCTGCCCCAATGGCTGAGGTGATCAAAGAGCTACTGACCATGATGGGAAGGAAAGCAGCTCTTTTTGTGCGCGAGGGCAAGGGAGGTTGGAGCTCAAGGAATTCTGCCATGCTGTAAAGTGTAAGCTGTGGGATTAGGGTGACGAGAATGCAGGGTGTATCGGAGTTGAGAGGCAGTGAGTTGAAAAGACTGCCATTACACTAAAAGAAGTGTCCCGGTTGCGTAAAAGTCTTAGAGCCGGAGGTAGGGGTGTAGATAGAGAGGCAGTGAAGTGCGCTGGAGGGGGGTGGAGTTGGGCCTACACAGTGGTGGATGGTGAGATTATCTGCGTATTCTGGTTCCCATAGGGGTATGTCTGCCAGGGGGCAGAGGGGTTGTCTTTCTGCATGGAAGGAGTAGTTGGAAATATTAAGGGGCACGGCGGCCAGCAGTGGGCGCTGTAGTGATGCGCACAAGAAACAATTGGCTGTGTTAAGGGTGTGGTTGAGAAAGATGGTGGTGTCCTGAATGAGCTGTAATGAAGAGTAGGAGAAATGGGAAGAGGGGTGGGGATAAGAAGATGAAGAGGCGCTATCAAGAGTTTGGATAATGACTTTTTCGGAATGTCTGCTATCTGATGCAACTTGAGAGATCTGGGAATGAGAGGGAACATACTTTCGAGAGATATGAAGGGTACTGTGGGGGGTCGAGGACCCCCCGTAGTAAACTGAGGCTGTGACTCTGGCAGCCCATCGAGAGTCCCAGGGATCTGGGATTGATAAGGAGAATGAGCCGTTGGGATATTTCATGAAACGGTTGGAGGAGTAATACTGTGGGTACTGGAAGTTACTTATGTAGTGAATGGTGCAAGACTAGTAGGGACATCTCCTGTAGGTATCTGGCCATCGCCTGCAATAGGCTTGTTTTTGGTCATAGAGGAAGCAGAGGTAGGGAGAATAAGGGTAGCTGCTAGTGAACACTTCAGTGGAGGGAGGAAAGTGGAGGTATAAAGGCTCAGAGCAGCTTTTCAGAGGGCAGTCTGGTGTGGCAATGAGGGCAGTAACTTTTGTTTGATGCTGTGTGTAAGTCTGTCTGACTTTGAATCGCCATACAAAGGAGGCTGGGGTGGTGGGGAAGACAATAGGAATGAGGAAAAAAAGCGAGAGAGCAGTAAAGGAGGAAAAAGTCATGATTCGGGTATGGATGGCAAAGGGGGTGAACGGGATTTTGGAGGAAAGAGGACAGTAAGGTCAGGAGTCTGGAGGGAGGGAGAGTCTGTAAACTTTTGTAGGTTAAGAGATCTTTTAGGTGATGTGGGGACAGAATGGTAAGGGGCGCCCTGAATGTCAGTTTATGAGCTTCTTTCTGCAAGAGCTGTCTAGCGGCTAATGCTCGTAGGCAGGGGGCCCATCCCCGAACTGTGGGGTCTAATTGCTTGGAGAGATAAGCTACTGGGGCAAAGGATGGGCCATAATATTGGCCTAGGACTCCTAGAGCTTGACTGGACCTCTCATGAATGTATAATGAGAAGGGCTTCGACAAATCAGGAAGATGGAGAGCTGGGGCTTCTACAAGGGCTTGACGGAGCTTAATGAAGGAGTGTCGGGGTGAGGAGGATAATGGTTTTTTAGGGGGGCTCTTGCTGAGGTCGTATAGGGGTCTTGCCAACAGGGAGCAGGGAGAAGTTAGGGATCTACGCTCTAAAATATCTAGCCAGGCTTAGAAAGGAAAGGATTTCTGTCTTGGTTTTGGGAATGGGCAGGTCAGAGAGGAGCCATTTTCTGTCTAAGGTAATGGACTTTCTTTGTTGAGATAGAAGGAATCTGAGGTAAGTGACAGGAGGGGAAGAGATTTGAGCTTTGACGGGGGATACTCGGTAACTTCTGGAAGCTAGAAGGTTAAGTAGGGAGGCAGTGTCAAGTTGAGACTGTTCCCACGAGAGACTGCAGAGTAGAAGATTGTCTATGTATTATAAGGTGGACTTGGAGTGATCATGATGAAACTGTTTGAGGTCCTGAGCTAGGACCTGTCTAAAAATATGGGGACTATCTCGGAAGCTTTGTGGCAAAACTGACCAAGTGAGTTGTTTAGAATGTCTTGTGTATGGGTCCGTCCAGGTGAAGATGAAAAAATCTTGGGAGCAGGGGTCTAGAGGGATAGAAAAATGGGTCCTTGAGATCTAGGACTGAGAAGTGGGATGCTGAGGCTGTATGGATTTGGAACTAAGGGATGGATAGGGACAATGGCTATGTTGATGAGGCGAAGGTCTTGGACAAGGCGGAAAGATCCGTTGGTTTTTTTAACAGCTAATATGGGGGTATTAAATGGGGAGTGAGTGGGTCTGCTTGAATGATGGGTTGGAGGCCTATGAGGGCTGAAGTGGTTAGGGGGTATTGGGCCTGACAGATATACTGAGAGGGGTCACATAATTTGATAGAGGCAGGGGGACATAGGGCCACGGAGGGGCTTGTAATGTCCCAAACTTTGGGATTTACAGGGTGTATGAGGGCAGAACCGGAGCTTTCATTGGGTAGAGGGGGGTCGTCGGCTATGAGGGCCATCAGAAAGGGAGTACTGGGGGCTGTGGGAGTGGATATAGTTATGGAAACGTGGAGGAGGGAAAGGATGTCTCGTCCTAGTAAAGGGATGGGACACTGGGGCATAACCAGGAAGGAGTGGGAGAAAGGTATGGGATTGTCTTGGATTGTGCATAAAAGGGTGGGTGGGGGGTTTAATGGGAAAATCTGTTTACCTCCTACTCTGACTATAGGAGTAATGGCTGGCGTGGTAGGGCCCCGGTATTCTCACAAGACTGAGAAGGTGGCTCCTGTATCTAGGAGGAAGGAGATGGGGTGACCGTCTACTGTTAAAGTAACCCTGGGCTCCTGTTTGGTGATGGAAATGGTCGGGCGAGAAGCCCCCGGGCCCCATCAATCTTCTTCTGCCAGCCCCACTACGGCGGGCTTAGGATGGGGGTTGTTCGTCCAGCCTCCCCTTCGGGTGGCTGGGCAATCAGACCCCCAGTGGCCCTTTTTGTGGCATCTGGGGCATGGGGTGGTAGGAGATCTGGGGGAGGGGCACACCCTTGACCAATGTAAACAAGCTCCTAGGGTTGCTTGTTTGTAGAAGGGTGCCCAGGTTGTGGTTTTATCAGCTGGGCCAACATTTGGAAATTGGCTTGATCAGCCTTTTGTTTACCGTGTTCTTTCTCCTCCTCCCAGTTATGGAAGACTTAAAGGCCACTGTTAGGATCTCAGTCTGTGGGGTAGCAGGGCCCTGTTCTAACTTTTTGAGTTTAGCTTTAATGTCAGGGTAGCTTTGAGCTAGGAAGTATGTCATAAGGACATGTCTTCCGTCAGGCGTTTCTGGGTCAAGGCTGGTATACTGTAATAGGGCTTGAGTGAGTCTGTCTAAGCTACGTCCCAGAGGGGGGCGATAATTTTGGGAGGCCCTCGGGACTGAGTCTGAGGGGGACTGAAGGGTTCTGGCTCAGTCTGTGGGGGAGTGACGTGGTCCAGCCGCGCCTAGTCGAGCAGGTCTTGAAGTGCGGAAGTGGGGCAAAGAAAATAAAGATAGAAAGAACTGGGAGGCCTGACGCTCCCACGCATTGCCAGCCAGCAGCCCAGCTGCTTGCCTCTGCTGCTCCAGTTGGGCTTGAACTCATGACTCTGAGGTTAAGAGTCTCATGCTCTACCAACTGAGCTACAGCAAGGCTCCAGTTAATTGCTTATGGAATGCGTAAACAGAATGTTTTTTGTTCTCCATTCCTGCCACATCGGCAAGTGGGGGAAGGGCATAGCTAGAAGCAGGGGCGGTGTTTCTACACATCTTCAAGGTCTCCCTATTTTCAGAGTGAGGAGTCTTGGCTTGTCTTCGAGGACAAGATATGTTTTTGTGGACAGATAACTTCCAAGGACTGCACCGGTTGTTCTCAAGCTTGTGCTTTCCTATGCTGCGTTCAGACATGGGGGAAGGTGCTTTCCCATTCTGCCTACAAACATGTGAGAAGACAAAGGCGGTCCCCAACAGGGGAGAAACAGGTGATGAGGGCAAAGACGGAGGAGGCCTCCGGGACTTAGTTAAAGGGGGACTGAAAGGCTCAGGCTTAATCCGTGGGGGACGAAGGCAGAGGAGGTGAGATGGGGGGAGGAAGGGAGAAGGGCTGTTGTAGGAGAAGAAGGGGAAGGGAGTGAACAGGAGGCTTCTGCGGGGGCGGCGGCTTGCAGGCTAGGAGAACTTGGGGGGAGTGGGGGGAGGAGGAGGCGGAAAGCTTCAATATAGGGAATCTCCTTCCATTTTTTCAGGCGCTGGCAGTAGTTAACAAGATCGCGAGTGATGTTAGGATCAAGAGTTCCCCCTGCAGGCCATTGGTTGTTATTGTCTAGGGGGTATGTCGGCCAATCTTGGGAGAATATTTACGGAGAAGTTTTGGTTTTATATCAGGTGTCAGGGAGAAGGTAGCCAGATGCTAAAGCAGGCATTCAAGAGGTGAACTTTCAGGGAGGGATGAGGAGGCTCCCATGGCTGAAGGACAGAGAAGGAGACAAACAGGGGAAGATGAACGGAGATCCTCGGACTGGAGGCAGGCCACAAGGAGACAAAGGGCGTCCCCGATGATCCTTGGTGGTCTGCGGAAACTCGTACACGAGTCAGAATTTCTTAGGAAGTGTGAGTAATCACCCAGACTTCTCTAAGAAGGCAGAGTGCCGGAGTCATGAGGTACCTAGTACTAGGAATTTTCAGCAGACAGAACGGATTTCGGTGGATGGAACAGAAGGAGGAGGGGGGGGAAGGGAGCATTCTCATCCACAAAGGAGTCACCTCGTTTATGGCTGTTGGAGGGGGGCCTGAGGGTCTGCTGCAGCCGTGAAGGCCTGAGGTGTGGATTTATGGCTGTTGGAGGAGGACCCTGAGGGTCCGCTGCAGCCATGAAGGCCTGAGGCAGGGATTTATAGCTGTTGGAGGAGGGGCCTGAAGGTCCCCCGCAGCCATGAAGGCCTGAGGCGGGGAGAGTTCCCTCCTCGTCCCCGAGCATCAGGGCCTTGCAGGACGATCATGGTCAATGGCACTGCGATAGCTCGGGGGACAGTGGCTCACTTGAGGGGTGGGGGTGGGGAGGAACTTACCTAAAGGCCGGACAGGAGTGGTGAGTGTGATGAGCCAGCGCCGGAAAAAGAGGACAAGGGCAAGCTGCTGCTGGTGTCGGGGGGAAGACGGGGCCCAGTTGGGGTGTCCCATCTCCCAGGTTTCGGCACCAATGAAAGGAAAGGAGAGACACACAGCAGTAATTCACCGGAGAAATCTGCTTTATTAGGGAAAGGTGCTGGGTTATATAGGAAGGGGCATGGGGTGATTGTGGTGTTACTTCTATGGGGCTGGTGGCTATTGGCTAGGTGCTGGGATTGGGAGGGGGGGCGAGAGGTGATTGGGCTTCAGGTGGTGCCATCGGGAACCGAGGACCCCGAAGAGAAGCCAGGTTCGCCATCTTACTGGTGGGGGCCCTTCAATACCACTTGATTTCTCACTTTGATTTTGGCTTCAAAGGTAATTTGCCCTGGACTGGGAACTTACCTCCCCTCTCCCACGGAGTTACAATAGGTTAACAGTGTATACTTGTCTTAGGTATTGCCATCTTTTCATTTACTTTTATGAGGTTTATAGTTGTCTTGGACATGTTTCTTTTTTAAATCTTTTATGGTGTCTGTCTGCCTTTGGTGACATGCTTGGAAATTCCTTACAGCTCTACAATATAGAAATCATTTATAGCCTTATTTTTTTCACATTTCAGTCTTTAATCGATGTAGAATTCAGTTTGGCACGTGCTGTAGCAGCTCTCCACTTTGTTCCCAAATGGCTAGCCTTTCCTGCATCTGTTGGAATGATTCATTTATAGAAACGTTTCCCCGGCCTGTCCCTCTGGGAGAACTGGGATTCTGTGGAATTTGTCTCTGTGTCCCCAGCACACATGGAGTTATTGCACATAATAGGTTGATTGAATAAACCCAGTACACATGTATCTCAAGCTTTCAAGTAGACAGGCATCCATGGACTAGAATAATCCAGCCTGTATATTCTCTGTACTGCTAACAGCACATCACAGTCCATTTTGCAAGATGGTTGACTCTGGTCTACGTTACAATTGCTGAGTTGTTGAAAGGTTTAACTCACTCCTGTAGGCTAGTGTAAGTCCGGAGAAGGGAAATCCTGGGGCAAAATACCTCTAAAAACCAAAATCAGTCAAAGGGAGAGAGAAAGTTTAAAATCTGTTTGTTGCTTACAAATTCAGTCCAGGCCCTTGGGTCTTTCCTGCTCCAACAGAAACAAAACCGGCCCTTCCCTTCACCTCTCAGGTGCAGATAAGCCCTCCGTTGCCCAGGTAATTACCCATTGATATGGAGATGAACTTCACCTCAACACCTATTGATATGCAGATGTACTAAAGCCAGGCGAGATATTCTGGAAATATTAGTTTTACCCACAGCTAGGTTAGCTAATAAGTGATCTTTTAGTGGGAAGCCCCCCCACCCCATCAAATCACATCTAATTTTCATCATAGACTTGATTCCATACGTGGTTATGATTTATTCTCTAGTTAGCTCCATGAGGGCAAATCCTGTCTGTCTTGACACTTCTCTTTCCCTACCTGCTAGACCAGTGTCTTTCTCATGATAAGGACCTAATAAATACCTTTTGAATGAAGTGAATGAATGAATGGAGCACAAATTGATATGGTGCCAATGAGCTGTGCCGGAGTTGACCCATCCTAAATCAACCACCCCTCCTTCAGGTGAGTTGGTTACAGGTGCTCTAATATTGATACAAGTACACAGTTTATTCAGATTTCCTTAGTTTTTACCTAATGTCCTTTTTCTGTCCCTAAGTTCTATCCAGGATCCCATGTTACATTGTCAGGTCTCCTTAGGCTCCACCTGGCTGTGACATTTTCTCAGACTTTCCTGGGTTTTGATGACCTTCATGCTTTTAAGGAGTCCTGGTTGATGTTTTGTAGGCTGTCCCTCAATTGTGATTTGTCTGTCTTTCTCATGATTAGACTGGGATTATAAGTTTTTGGGAGGGTCACAGGGAAAGTACCGTTCTCATCAGAGCATATCAAGGGCATAAAGTATCAACACGACATCACTGTTGATGTGGACCTCGGTCACCCGGCTGCAGTAGTGTTTGTCAAGCTTCCCTGCTGTAAACCTGCTCCTCATCCCTCTGTTTCCTCTGGGAAGAAGTCAGCATGCACAACCCACACTTCAGGGATGAAGGGTAAGCTCCCCCTCCTTGAGGGCAGAGTACCTACCTAATTTATGTGGAATTCTGTGCAGGTTAGTCTCTCCTCCCCATTTAATTAGTCAATCATTTATATCAGGATGGACTCATGGATATTTATTTTATTATACTTTGGGTTGTAATTCAATGCAGGCATTCCTCATTTTTCAAAAGTTCACATTATGCCACTTGAGTTTTATGAAAGACTTAAATGTCTTTGTCTTTTTTTTTTTTTTTTTTTTTTGCTACCTGTCTTGCCAGTGGGTTTCAGCCCTGGACAATTTCACTATGGATTCAGTGAGCCTGAGGAATGACAATGGAATGTTCTTGGGGTGAAAGGGTTTATACCCAACTTTATTCCCATGGTGGCAGGTCAATCACTGGAATCCCGTCCACTCAGAGCAGGTCTGCATGCAGCAAGCCCATCTTTGCCTCTGGACCTCTCTACCACCACACCCATCTCAGTCTTTGCCTTTGGCACTGCCACCACTCCAGTCTCTGCTCTCCTGCAGCCCTGCAGCAGCTGTGCAGCCATGCCTCCATGTCACCCAGAGCACTGGGTGGAGCTCTTTATATAGAGTCAATCGCAATGTATTGCCCACACGTGTGTAGTGAGCTACTCAACCAGGGCCAGGTGAGAATCTTGGCCATAGGAACCTTTACTTTATCCACACTACCAAAATAAATGCAAAGAGGATTTTTCACTCTTTCAAAAAAAGGTAAAAATCAAAAATACCATTCCGTGTTTATTTTGCAGCCAGCCGTTTATAGACACAGTGTGCCCCCACACCGGTGAGAGGGTCCCCACCAAGTTACTTCCTTGGAACCACGCTCGGCATCTCAGCTATTGATGCTTTGAACTGTGTATGTGAGCAGCTGTGCCTTATCCCAATTTATTCTGTATGTCTGTCAGCAAGATGTATCCTAGGCTAACAGAAAATCCTCAGGTTAGTTTTTGGGATCTAGAAGTGGCTCCAAAAATTTTCCATATAAATTAATAATTGCTTCACTTTGGGGCTTACGAAAAGCTTCATAGGAACACTCTACTTTGGGATAGCAGGGCAACCTGTAATGCTTTGTTTTGTTACTCAAATTATTCCCCTTTTGGCCACTGAGTGCTTTCAGTTGGCTCCTGTGTCCCTTAGACCGGCCCCTAGTTGGAAGATCAGGTGATGACTCCTAGAGATATGATTCACAAGTGAGCAGTCTGAGCTCAGGTTAGCCACCTAAGCAGGAGTGGCAGGGGAGTATGGAGGGTGGAGGTCAGAGAGGCTCTGGAAGGGACACTTGGACAGAAACAGGAGGGGAGTGGGAATGAGCCAGTGGGAAGGGAGGCCAGGCTCACCCCCATGCCCTCCCAGAGGTGGCCCTGCCCCCCCCCACCCACCCACTGTGCCTCGCTTGTTTATAATTTACGCTTATGATTGGAATTATCAGCAGTAATGATAACGTGATTATAATTGCCGAGCTGCCTGGCCCAGTTGCAGCACTCTTGGTAAATATTATGATAGGGAGTAGCACGAGGTCACTGCCTCCCAGAGCTTGATGGATGGGGTGGGGTATGGGAGTGCCCCAGGGGTTACCTGGTCCCTCCCCCACTCCCAGCCAAACCCACCCACCTCTCTCCAGAGAACTCAACACCCCCCCATTTCCTCACCCATCTTAACATCTTAACACCTGACAGTCCCCCCACCCCACCTCCCGTCGTGAATCATTCCTGCCTTAGGCTCAGCAGTAAGCATTGAGAAGCCTGCAGGGTGTGGGGGCATGCTGTCTGTCTGTCACCCCACCAGCAGAGGGCACTCCGGGGCTGTGGGGTAACTTCCTCTGGGGAGGTGAGGTAAAGCAAGCCAGAAAGGATGGTCCTTCCATACCCAAGTTGGGTTCGACTGGTGACTGAGTCCCACAGGAACCCAGAGTTGGCCTGAGGGCTCTTGGCAAGGGGCTAAAGGGCAGGGCAGTGTCACTGGCGGCATGGTCCTTTGGGAACAGGGGACATTGCTAGCATCCTGAGGCCTCCCTTTCTACAGGAGAAGCGAGAAACAAGGACTGTAACAATTAGTGTTGGATGTACAATTAGCCCCTAAGAGAGCACACAGACAATCCGAGGTTGGGAAAGAGGTGCCCCTGCGGCCGCCCCAAGGCCCCATTCTGAGCTGAGCAGGCTCCATCGCAGAGGAACCGGGCCCCCGGTCAGCCCGCATCCTCCAGCAGCCTGGTGTTAGCTCAGCCTCAGCTCTCTTCACCTGTCGGTGCCAGTAAGTGAGCCCGTGTGTAGCAAAGGCTGGTGGATTCTGGGCGTCAGAGTGGACGCCCGAGCAAGGACAGCGATGCCCAAGGAGAGGGTCGAGGCAGCAAGGATGGGGCCAGCTCTCCATGGGCTGCCCATGGCTAGGAGAGGCGTGGCGCCTCCATTTGACTGGGGGCTGAGGTGCAGAAAGACCCCAAACTCATAGAGCAGCAAGTGGCAGGGCAGGATTTGCCCTGGGCCCATATGTGGTGACTGGGAGCCTTGTGGGGCAAGACAGAGCCTTGTGCCCCTGTCCCCGTGTGCTGCCTTGTTCATAAGCCCCACATTCCCCCAGGGGCAAACAAGCAGAAGGAGCATTTCAGATCCACTTCCCTGCTCTGAAAATAAATCAGTGAGCAGAAAATGCGGTGCACTCGGAGGCGGTGCACCCAGGCTCCTCTGAGCCCCAGGAAAGCCACAGGTGGCCTACTTCTGTCCCCTCACCCGGGGCCCCTGGATGGCGGGGCCTGAGACTATGAGCTTGGCGAGCTGAGTGTGGGCTGGTTTCACCCCCCACGTGTCCCCTCAGCACAAGCTGCCTAAACACTAAGGCCTCGCCTGGCAGGCTCCCCAGGGTGAGTGCCGGGACCCACTGAGATCTCAGACGGGAAGTGTCCGAGTGACAGAACATTACTGTTCACTTGGGGGCAGGGAGCTTGGAGTTGCTGTACTGCTGCAGGCAAGTTGCTTCCCCTCTCTGAGCCTCAGTTTTTTCATTTGTAAAACAAGAGCAGTTATCTAACCCAATGAATTTCCCTCAGCTTCATCCTAAGTGGTGTCTAAAGGGGGCCATCTAAGCCAGAACCAAAGGGAACCAAGAGATAAGGAGGAAGAGGTTATTCAGCCCTGTGGTTAACAGGGGAAACCCCATCTCTGCCCCTTGCCAGCTGTGTGGCTTTGGGCAAATAACCTCACCTCTCTGTGCATTGATGACATCACTGATCAAATGGAGCTTGCCCACCTCGAGGAGGTGCCATGGGAACTCAGTGGGTCCTTGTGCACCAAATGGTCAGAACTGGGTGTGGCACATGTAAGTCTCCGTGGCCTTTGCTGTGTGTGTCCCCACTACCTGGCCTCAGCCCCAGTCCTCGGCAGCTCAAGGGGCCCTGGTGGGGAGGCAGGCTGGGCAACTGAGAAGACAGACACACCAGGCATCAAGACTTGCTGCTCCTGGCCTCTGGGTGGGCAGGCGAGCCGGGGCTGAAGGCCAGGCCGTGCTGAGCTCACCGGGGTGCAGTGTTTCAGGGCTGCATCCAGGTCAGCTCATCATGCTTAGCACCCCAGCACAGCATCTGCCCAGAGCAGAGCCACTTTCTAATTTCTCAGAAGCCGCCAGGTCTAGGCCACCAGGCCCCTGCTCGCTGGGACCTCCTTAGAGGTCTGTGTCCTCTGCCTGATGTCCTGAAGAAGCTCAGAGGTGTGTGTTCATTGAATGAGGGGTGGGTGGGCCTATCTGGGGCCTGGCCTGGGGGCACTGGGGCCCCATCCCTGAGGCATGGCTACTCTCATCTTGTGGTGTCTACTCTGGGTCTGGTGCTGAAGTTCTCCTGCAGCTGCTGCTCAGGGGACACACATGCCAGGGCCAGCCAGGCATGCAGAGAACCCTGAGGCTCTGAGACGGATGGCCACTGGGTGTCCTTGAAGCCCCCTTGTCTGCCTGCCCATCTTCCACTCACCTCTCTAGGCCCAGCTCTTTTTATGTCACTGCCTCCAGGAAGGAATCCCTGATTTCAGGCTGGTCAGCTACCTGTCTGGGTCCCCACAGGCCCACAGCACACTGCCCTTGCTCATTTGGGGCTGTAGAGAATTGGATAAAGAAGAAAATGAAAATGACACAAGACACACTTCTCTTCCTGCCCAGGCCCTGAATTGTTCAGACCCAGGACAGGGGCCCGCTATGGAATTGAAGAATGAAAATAGGGGGCTCGTTGTTCAAAAAGCAGGAAAAATGTGTCCTTAAAGGTGCTAACATACAAAACATGATCTCTTCTCCTACAGTCTCTTATATGATCTTAAAATTTTGCAAGTTAATGTCCAAGTAAAGAAAAATTAAAATGTAAACTTATTAGTATGTTGCCATTTTGTTCTTTACCATTTGTTCTTCTTTATGTTGTCCAACTGCACATATAAGAGCATTAATTCCAGTATGGAATCACCATATTTACACAATTGATACGTGCACATATATTTCTTTTTTTTTTTAATCTTTTGTCTTTTATTTGGCTTCAGTGTTTAAATTTCAAAAGGCATTAAAGTAACAGCTGTTCTGAACATGCCTTTATGAAATAAAGTTTAAGAACATTTTTTATTACAATTTTTCATGTTTAGCTACAAGCCTATAGAAAGTATAAACATCCAAAAATGGCATACCAGGTAGGTTTGTGCAAGTTACTTTTTATGAGTTAAAATACTTTCAAGTATTTACTCTAGCACTAATGAACTATACTACTGAGGATATATGTATGCATTTACTTGGAAACTAATAGTGAAATTCATAATGACCATTGAAAATGGTCACTTCTGTCCATCAGTCCTATCCAACAGTCTACATCAGTGTTTTTAATTTTTCATACACTGCACAGGAACAGGTGGAGTTTTGCTAGGTAGGGATAGAAGAACTGAAATAGCAACCAATGTTATTCAGAAATCATGGAGCTTAAGTTTAATGATGTTAAAATCTTTTTTATTGTTCTTTTGAACTAACATAAGATAGAAAATTAAGCAGTCCATGATTTTTATAATTTCCCCTTATCTGGCAGACAGCTAGGCATAGCACATCACAGCCTAAGGCAGTGTGAGGGAAAATAAAGAGTAAAATTATATTTTCACCTCTCTTGGGGCTTACAATCCAACAGAGAAAGAACTACTTGTAGCCAGCCATCTTAGCTTGAGGTGATTAGGAAGGTTTCACAAAGACTGTGAAGATGAAGCTCTAGTAACTAACAAATTTTAATGACAGAAATGAGGACATTCTAAGAACTAAAGGCACAGATATGTGACAGTCCAAAAATTATGAGGAAAATTCTGTAACCCTGATGGGTTACATCAGCAATTCTTAACTGATCCTTGGAACCCAAGAACCAATGGACTCTTGGTAAACTTACTGTGCTATTTTCTAGGGAGGCCAATGGCATTCATATTTTCAAAGTAATCCATATTGTAAGAGAGATATTAAGAGTTTATGTTTTAAGTTCTTAGACACAATCAACTTCAAAAAGGTTGAAAATGGAAAACCATCTATATCAGCCTAATGTACAATTTGATCCCTACTTGAGATTTTATACAGATGATAGGAACATGTGAAAAAGGACTATATGTTTTACCACCCTTTCTAAGATATAATAATTTTAACTTTCTAACACTTATGTGTTGAAATATAGGCCAAGTAGTAATTTAAAGCTCTATAATAAGATTATCATTTAAGAAACATTTGATTATGTTACCTAACAATGACTATATAGTGAATAAAATGATTTTTAGATGTAGTAATTTTGCTTCTTGCAAAGAAATATTAATAAATATGTACATATATTCTACTAATCCACTAATCTAGAGAAGCATTTATTCACTAATTTAATATTCAACTGATTTAAAATCTGTTCATTTTGCTTGATTTTTTTCTACAGCTAAACTAGAAATAGTTTTTTTCCTGAAAAAAATGCTATGATATTCTTTCTTATAAACTGCCCCCTCTGATTTTCTTGTCAGCCTGCTTCAGGGAAATCCACGTGTTCAATACACTTGCTCGCAGTTTGGCCCATACCAAATGGTTGTTTAATCCAAATATCTGAGCAGCAAACTGAGCTGATCCTTCTGGAGAAAGTATGGTCGAACAGCTAAGACCACTGGGTAGTCGAAGAGAAGATCATACATCCTGAGCTCCCCAGTCTGGAGTGAGGGGAGGACAGCTGATAACTGGATATGCAGTGTTACCAGACATCACAGGTCCTAAACCATTGCTTCTGCCTGCCACAGCCACAAATACAGTAGGAATGCCATTCCCTTCATATTCTGCTTTAATTCTCAGAGTTTCATCTGATCCTTTATGGGCAGATGTTACCTGAAGTTCACATGGAATGCCAAAATTTCCACAAGCCTTCTTGATTTTTTCAGTGACTGACATCAGAAGTTGAGCCCATCAATACTACAACCCTGCACTGACTTTCTGTTTTCAGAAGCAACTTTACTCTTTCTGCAACCCACTCAAAATTTCTCTTCACCATCTGGAGCCCTTCAGGAGTTACTTCCTTGAGGTCACAATATGACTGTTTGTCTTTCTGCTGGCTTCGATCTCCTGATGGCCAGAGTCTCCAGGAATCATTATCAATAACATCAGCAAGGACAATTTCTTTGGTGGTTACATTAACACCAAATTCAATCTTCATATCAACCAGGGTACAGTTCTGAGGCAACCAGGATTTCTCCAGGATTTCAAAAACAGCCTGTGTTGCATGATTCATGATGTCCACTTCAGTTTGGCCTATAACAAGTCCAGCAAAGCAAAATTTTGCAGCAATTAGCTGTTCCTCAGACCACTGTGGGTCATTATTGGCATCATCACAGATGATAGGAACATGTGAAAAAGGACTATATGTTTTACCACCCTTTCTAAGATATAATAATTTTAACTTTCTAACACTTATGTGTTGAAATATAGGCCAAGTAGTAATTTAAAGCTCTATAATAAGATTATCATTTAAGAAACATTTGATTATGTTACCTAACAATGACTATATAGTGAATAAAATGATTTTTAGATGTAGTAATTTTGCTTCTTGCAAAGAAATATTAATAAATATGTACATATATTCTACTAATCCACTAATCTAGAGAAGCATTTATTCACTAATTTAATATTCAACTGATTTAAAATCTGTTCATTTTGCTTGATTTTTTTCTACAGCTAAACTAGAAATAGTTTTTTTCCTGAAAAAAATGCTATGATATTCTTTCTTATAAACTGCCCCCTCTGATTTTCTTGTCAGCCTGCTTCAGGGAAATCCACGTGTTCAATACACTTGCTCGCAGTTTGGCCCATACCAAATGGTTGTTTAATCCAAATATCTGAGCAGCAAACTGAGCTGATCCTTCTGGAGAAAGTATGGTCGAACAGCTAAGACCACTGGGTAGTCGAAGAGAAGATCATACATCCTGAGCTCCCCAGTCTGGAGTGAGGGGAGGACAGCTGATAACTGGATATGCAGTGTTACCAGACATCACAGGTCCTAAACCATTGCTTCTGCCTGCCACAGCCACAAATACAGTAGGAATGCCATTCCCTTCATATTCTGCTTTAATTCTCAGAGTTTCATCTGATCCTTTATGGGCAGATGTTACCTGAAGTTCACATGGAATGCCAAAATTTCCACAAGCCTTCTTGATTTTTTCAGTGACTGACATCAGAAGTTGAGCCCATCAATACTACAACCCTGCACTGACTTTCTGTTTTCAGAAGCAACTTTACTCTTTCTGCAACCCACTCAAAATTTCTCTTCACCATCTGGAGCCCTTCAGGAGTTACTTCCTTGAGGTCACAATATGACTGTTTGTCTTTCTGCTGGCTTCGATCTCCTGATGGCCAGAGTCTCCAGGAATCATTATCAATAACATCAGCAAGGACAATTTCTTTGGTGGTTACATTAACACCAAATTCAATCTTCATATCAACCAGGGTACAGTTCTGAGGCAACCAGGATTTCTCCAGGATTTCAAAAACAGCCTGTGTTGCATGATTCATGATGTCCACTTCAGTTTGGCCTATAACAAGTCCAGCAAAGCAAAATTTTGCAGCAATTAGCTGTTCCTCAGACCACTGTGGGTCATTATTGGCATCATCCTTGAAAAACATCTCCACTTTAGGCGGGTAAAACATATATCCTTCCTTGACACCAGGATTTCTTTTGAGAAAAGAACCAGTTGCTATTCTTCTACAAACCCATTCAATTGGAATCATTTCACACTTAGGTGCAATAAAAGCTGTCTCACCACATTTTTTGATGAACGCAGTTTTGATACCTGCTTCCTGTAACAACTGAAAAATACAACTGGTAATTTTATTTGAGATTGAAGCTTTTCCTTCCAGGTGATTCTTTCTGGCTGCATTTCCTGCTGTAATCTGGTCCTTGAACTTCAGGAGGACTTGTCCTGGACTATCTAACCATTCATAGACTTCTTTTGTTTTACCCTCGTAAAACTTGGAGGGTAAAAAACTCGTAGAGTTTTTTACCAACATTCAGTACCTCTGCGGTCGCCATTATCCTGAGTGGGCCAGGGGCAGCAGGTGCGCTATGAGGAGTGGCAGGGCTCAAGTGGTGACGCCAGGGGAAAGCATATGGGGAGGAGCATGGCACATTTCCATTCTCTGGGAGATAAATTACATTAATTCCTCAAGTCACATCACCCCAGCCTGAGGTACTGAAAAATAACGGAGATTCCCACGTGCAGAAAAATCAGCTTCCATATATTTCATTCTTACACCAAAAGTAGAAACATTGCCCCAAACTCACCTGTGTTTATTTCATTTTGGATATGCATGCATTAAGCCAGCCCCCTCTGCCTTCTGCTTATCATGTAGAAGGAAGGACTGAAGGGAAAAGAGGCTGTGAGTTGCCCTATCTCTGCCTTTCCTTCTATGTCATCATTTTGGCTAATGCAGGGAAGTACCAGGTGAGAAAGGGTGTGTCAGGGTTCCCTGGTCCCTCGTGACTCTGCCACTGCCCATCTTGTCTTCTTTTTGCATTCTGCGCAAGTTCTGGTTTGAACAGAAGCAAGGTTGTTGGCAGCCCTTGATACGCAATGCTCGCCTTACACTTGCTTTGAGCCTTGCTGAGCCTCTGCCCCCCATGAGGCCCCCGGGATTCCATGCCCATGGGGCACTGCCAACGCTGTATGCTAACCGGGCAGCATGGAGATGGAGCCACATTCCAAGTAGCCCCTCAGTATTTTTTCTCATGCTCATTGTTCTGTGGATTTCACTTACAACACACATGCAAAGCAAAATCATTAAGAACTTCAGGATGGCCACAGGGGAGGAGCATTTACCCAAGTGGGGAGACTTTCTGAGCTCAGGGCCCCTTGCAAGAAGTGGGCCCTGCCAGGCCGACACGGTTTGCTCCTCTGCCTGTTGGGACACCTTTAGTGCCCATGTTCAGGGCTGGTTCCTTTTAGTGACCAAAGGAGCCTGCCAGAGCCCTAGAAGCCCCACCCAGGCCCATCTGGACATCCCAGGGCCAGTCAAGGCCATTATCCCTGCATGGCCTTCCTGGGGAATGGGCAAACTTCTGCTTCAGGAGCCCATTGACTGCCCACCCCTGCTTTTCCTCACACCCAGAAACCAGAGGCCTGCCCCCCAGCCCCGCTGCTCCTGAGCTGCGCAGCCTTGGGTAGGGCCTGCCCCTCAAAGAGTCTCGGTTTCCCTGGGGTGACAGAGGCAAGGCCGTGGGCTGCCTGACCTGCTCCGGGAGCTTGCCATCAGCCAGGCCAGGGGAGCAGTTGTCCTCCCTTGCCCACCTCTTTGTCACACTCAGGGACATCTTAGGAAATGGTCAGTGTCCACAGTCATGCAGCCTGGCTGCCTTCCTGGAGTGGGGGGTGTTCATCCCAAAGTACACCGGTTTCCCACCCAGCTGGAGTTTCTGCTGACACAGCTGTATCTTCAGCACTAGCCTTGTGCTTGTATTTAGGTCAGGCCTATTTTAATTCTGCTGGGACTAGCGCTGGACTGAGACCGTCTTCCGGGGCTGACACAGAGAAGTACTAGGCTGGTTCAGCCCAGCTGGGCTGCTGAAGGGAGGTGGCAGAGGGAGGTGTGGGGAGCCAGGAAGGGGCAGGCGGCCCTGTCCCCAAACCCCGGCACATCTGGGGCCCCTTCACCTTGTCCCTTCCTGGCAGGGACCCCAACACACACACTTAGCTGGTGAGGCAGGGAAAGAATCCTGGACTGAGCATCGGGGGACATGGTTTATGTCTCACAAATGTGGAATATAATTTTAGTAAGTGATGCTATCTCCTGCTCAGTTTCCATACCTCTGCCATGACAGGCTGCTTCAGTCATGCTAGACAGCACTTCCAGGTCCTTGTGTCCTTGTGGATCAGAGTCCAGCCGGTGCTCCAGGACAGCCCCCTGTAGCTGTGTGACCCTGTCAAGTCACAAAACTTCTCTGTGTCCGGTGTCCCCAGCTGCAACATGGGGATAAAAATGGGGCCTATCCCCCGGAAGATGACTGGTTAGCCAGAGACGGGTAAGATTCCTCAAGGGAGGAACAACCTAAGACAGGCACAGTCGCAGGGGGGCCATCAGGTGAGAATTTGGGGATCAACAGAAGTGAGGCTCAGAACCTCACCCCCCCTGCTTTGAGAGAAATCTTCTGCATCCGTGGATGTTTTGCTGCCCTTGTCTAGCCTGGATTAATACTTAGTCCATAGGCACACACCTGATCATCTGATCATCTACATTTGCCTTCTTACAGCACTAAACTATGTTTTCTACCTTTATCTTGCATCTACCTACCACTTCAGCATTTTATTAAAAATAAAAATAATAATAATAATAGGAGAAATGTGGGATCAACATATAAATCAAGTACAAAAATCAAACGAATATTCATATTTGACCTGATTGTTTATAGGTCATAATGCGTGATCAAAACCGAAAGTTTCTGTGATGAATGCCCTTGTACTGTTCACCATGTAAGAATTTATTCACTATGTAAGAATTCGTTCACCGTGTAAGAACTTGTTCGTTATGCTTCAGAAGATTGGAGACTGACGAGAATTAGACTTGAGATGGATTAATGATTGTACATTGAGCATTGACCCTCCTATACTGAATTTTATTGTTGTTAACAACCATTTGATCAATAAATATGAGAGATGCCCTCTCAAAAATAAAAAATAAAAATAAATAAAAAATATGATGACAAAAAAAAAAAATGGGGCCTATCTCAGGCTGCTGGGAATGAGACGACAGAGGCGCATACAGGCAGTCACTCAGCCCTGCCTGGAACTCGGTGACGGCTCAGTAGGAGGTAACAGTCGGTTATTTCCAGTCCCAGCCATCCACCCAAGGTGCCCCTCACCTCACCAGCCCACATCAGCTCAGGCCCAGCAGGGGAGGCCCGGTGCTCACTGACATTCTGACCACCAGGATCCATACCCGGCCAGAGTGAACCTAACCTGCATCTCTCACAAGATCTGGTAATTAATACCCTTGACGGTTTTTATTGGAATGAAGCAGGACCTGTACGTGACTTGCTTTTTCATTAATAACCAGCCTCCCTCCCTCCTCGCGCCCCTCCAGGTCCAGGGTTTATATAATGCAGTGGGGTTACATGATTCCAGGGCATAGCATTATCCAATAGACAATCAAGCACAGTATTAACATCAGCGGTAGCCGGCAAAGGTAGGCTCAGCAGGGTTCCGTTAGTTGCTCATGGAATGCGTAAACAGAATGTTCTTTGTTCTCCATTCCCGCCACATCAGCAAATGTGGGAAGGCAGGCCAGAAGCAGAGGCAGTGTTTCCACACATCTTCAAGGTCTACCTATTTTCAGAGTGAGGAGTCTTGGCTCATCTTCGAGGACAAGATATGTTTCTGTGGGCAGATAACTTCCAAGAACTGCACAGGTTGTTCTCAAGCTTGTGCTTTCCCGTGCTGCGTTCAGACATGGGGGAAGGTGCTTTCCCATTCTGCCTGCAAACATGTGAGAAGACAGAGGCGGTCCCCAACACCAGTCAGGGATGTATTGAGCCTGCCTGAATGTGCTCAGGCAGGCCTTTGGCCTCTGTGGGTCTCAGTTTCCCCATTTGTGAGATGGGGGGCCGAGTGGCATGATTCCTAAGGAGCATTGCCCACTCCAGGCTCAAAACCACAGAGTCGCCTTTCCTCCTGTCAAACTTGGGAAGGTGACAGGATGATGCACCCATAACAGATGAGGAAGCAGACCCAGAGAAGGGAAGGGATTTGCTGTGGTCACTTGGGGCTTCTGTGGTGGCATGAGACCCAGTGCTTCCCTCTCCACCCATAGGGCCGCCTGAGCTCTATGGGCTTCAGAGCAGGTGGGGAGAGCAGAGCCTCACAGGACAACAATGAAGGGGAAAGTGAGGCGAGCCAGGGTCACAGGCCCTGAGGGCCACAGCAGCCAGGAAACCCTTTTTGCTCCCCAGGTCTCAGCCCCACTTACCTCCTTTAAGAAGTCTTCTGAGATCTCATGCTTCTCTGAGTTACATTATCCTTTCCTGTCCACACTGCCCGTTGTTGCCCAATCCTCTCATGACCCTTCTCCCCGGATGCTCTGGTGTCCTGGCTAGACTGTGGCTTCACTGAGGGCGGGGATGGAATCTCTTTCCTTCCAGGCCTTCCTGCTTCCTAGTTCCACATACGGCTTAGCACGGGCCTGGGCACATGGGACTGACTGCCCCCAAATGCCTCCATTTCCAGCATGTGGCAGGACACACCATGTTAGCTGGACATGTGGTTGAGGTCCTAGCCACTCTCTCCTTGGAGAGATCGGATGCTCCTGCAGGGGTCCAAGAGAGTCCAGGAGAATTTTATGGAGCATCTGTCACATGCAGGGCACAGTGATAGACCTTGGGACCCACGGGGGAGGCAGATCTGAGCATCTGAATCTTCTCAGAGCCCAAGCTTAGGTGGAGAGACAGACACATCTAGGAATAAATACCAGGTAATCAGAGAGAGAAGGAGAGAGAGAGAAGACAGAGGCTCTAGTTTCTGAGCAGGACATCAGTGATGAGAGGAGTGAGGACAGACTAGTGGGAGGAAAAGGCCTGAGCACAGCCCAGGGGACAGCGCAGGAAAGATCCAGCGTGATCCAACCGCAGGAAGGAAGGCACAAAAGGGAAGCAGCAGGCCTATCAGGAACGGGCCCTGCTGTGGGGGACTGGAACCCTCACAGTCATGTCGGAGGGGACGTGGCACTGCTTGTGGTACTTCTACCCACGTGGCTGAGGCTGTTGGTGTCCTTGTTGTATGCCCTCAGACCACCTGCAGTCACCGCCAGCAGCTTCCTATGACTCGCCTGAGGTTGACATCTGGTTCCAGGTGAGTGCCTGAATGCCCGGAGAAGGACCCTCACCCACTGAGGTGCAGGAGCTGGTGACTGAGCCCCCAGCTGACCCCACTTGGTGGGACGATCCAGGGGCACATTCTCCCCAGCTCTCAGAGCGTCCCCAGCAAGACTGAGTCCCAAAGGTCACCTGCTCACTAACGCATTCATCATTGGCTTTCTCCACTGTCCCACCCATCACAGGCATCCTGGGGCCACTTCCCAATCCCTCACACCCATATCCTTGGGGAATCTGAGTGAGTACAGCCAGAATTTCCTGTTTCTCTGGGATCGACTCTTTGGGAAGGAGAACAAGCATCATAGACAAGGTAGTGGAAGCAGTCTGAGGGTGGAGTTGCAGATGCCACAGGGAAGGGGGGGTGACTGCAGCTATATAGGTTGAGACACCCTTGAGGTAAGGGTCTGTGTGAAATCCTTTCATTTACTCGGTTATTTGGACTGCCCTTTGTTTCAGAGGATTTAAAGCCACTTGTAACCACAGGCATGTAACAGTCATGACAGGGTCATCCTGTGCCTTATGAAGTAACCTTGTCCCAATGTAGGGGCTTAGTCCTTAAAGTCACCACTTCAGCCCCCAGCTGTGTACTTTGGGCTCAGTGTCACCACTGATGGTTTATCTGGAACCCCCAACCCACACCAAAACCATGCTCTCTGGTCTTTGTTGGGTACATGAGAAAAGTTCCATGTACTGGGTTTTAAATCTTTTTCTTAGTGATTTATAGGAATTCTTTATATATGATAGATCCCAACCCTTTGCCAGCCATATGCTCTGCTAATCTTTTTCCAAACTAGGATTTGTTTTTCATTTTGTTTTCAATATTTATTAAAATTATTTAAGTATTTTATTTTTTATTTATTAAATAAATATTTTTTAAGTTTTAGACTTTAATTTAGTCATACCTGTCAATATTTTTCACATTTGTGCTTATTGCATCTTACTTCAGAAAAACTTTTGATGGCCGATTCTGTTGGTAGTCTCCATTATCCATTCTATTTTTCTTCCTTAGTAACAGCATTCCAGTTTTTAGCTGGACATATTGCCAACTGCTAAAAGACTACAATTCCCGGTCTCCTTTCCAGTTCAGGGGTGGCTGTTAGACTGACATCCAGCCAATGAAACGGGGATGAAAGTGTTTTGTGGGACTTCTAGGACATTGCCCTTCTTCACTGTTCTTATTCTACCATCTAGAAGGTAAATGTGATGGTTGGAGCTCCAGCAGTTATCTTGGACTCTGAGGTGACCTCCCTCCATGTGGAAGTAACATGCTGAGTACAGAAGGGCAGAAAGTTAGAAGCTTAATTCTTGATATCACTGTGCATCAGTCATAGCAGTTTCTCTGGTTTGGTTTTGTTGCCTGCATCTGGAGTGGTGATACCTGAGATAGAAATGATCATAAATAAGAGAGCTTATGTAAGCCACGTATTGCTTGGGGTTTTTCTAGTCTATTACACTTTCCTATCCTACATTTTCTTTTCAAAGTTTCACATCTTTACTTTTCAAATGTAGTTCTTTAATTCATCTGGAGTTGATTTTTGCTTACTTGGGAGGTGGGAATCTAATCTTATTCTTTTTCCATATGGACAGCTAATTGTCCTAGCATCATCTACTAAGTAGTCCAAAACAGAATATAAGGTATTTTGAAATAGATTTAGTAAAAGTTGCTTAAGACCTTCACAGATAACATTGTAAAACTAACTTAGGGATGTAAATTTTAAAAACACTTAGATAAATGGACATCTACCATGCTTACAGGTGGGAAGGAAATTCTCCCCTGAATTCATCTATTAATTCAGTGCTACCCCACCAAATCTTGAAGTGGGGTTTTATATGCCAAGACAAAACAAAACAAAAGTGAGCTAGGAAGTTGGGGAAAATAAGACAAAGCCAGAGGGGAGGGCTCAGTAGTGTCAGAGGTGTGCCACACATTTCCCTTTGAAATCTTTGGCAACTGGTACACAGAAGGAAACATGATCCATTTTTACTTAAAAGATAAAAGCACAGCATTATCAGATAATTGCAGTGTTTTCTGGAAAAGGAGGGATTGGGGGTGACGGTTGAGGGGCACAGGGCTCCTTTTTGGTGGTGAGAAAAAAAGTTTTTTTAAGTATCATTGATATACAATCTTAGGTTGGTTTCAAATGTACAACAGAGTGGTTTAACCGTTTACCGATATTATTAAGTCCTG